GCCTTTCAGTACACTGATTACCAGAATAATATGACGTCAATATTCTGAAGGATTTTGTACAATGTTATATATACATGTATATATACGTGTGAGAGTGTGTGTGTGTGTGTGTGTCTGTGTGTCTGTGTGTGTATTCTTATATTCTGGTACTAGGGATTGAATCCAGGGACACTGTACCACTGAGCTACATTCCCAGAACTTTTTATTTTTTTTATTTTGAGATAGGTTCTCACTGTGTTTTCTAGGCTAGTCTCAAACTTGGCGATCCTCCTGTCCCAATTTCCCAAGTATCTGGGAATATAGTTATGCACCATCATGCTCAGCTTATTTATTTATGTATAGATATGTTTATATGTATATATCTATACATATTTATATTATTATATAAATATAATATACTTATATATTATGTATAGATATTTAATAGCTTTTATATTAAATACATACCTGTATATTATATATTTATACATATTTATACATATATTTATACACATAATTATGTATTTTATTTATATTTACTGTCTAGGTACAAACCAGTCAGATTTTTGAGCTGAAAGAAACAATGAAATGTGAAGGGACTTGAATTTCAGTATTATTTTACTATTATCAATGTAGGAAAGGCATAAAGATCTAAATAAAAATGTAGAAGTTGATTCAACTTTGAAACTTTGGAGTACTTTTGCCACTAACTAAAGAAAATTTAAAATAGTATTCAAGATTGTTTTAAATTTTGTTCTTTTTAAAAATAGTTTTAGTGAGCAAATAACCCAGAAAATGCATAGAACAGTAGTGCGTAGCTGCAAATGAAAAGGTGGTGGCAATGTCCACCTAACATGTCTGAAATTGCAAGAGAAACTAGATCTTTTCAGAGCAGCCAAAAGAAATTATAACTCATTTATCATTTACATAAATTATAAAATATTGTGATAAAAATTAAACTGATGGATAGAAATTCCTTCCATAACATCTGAATTTGGGGATCACTGAATACTTCAGTATTTTATTAAATGTTGTTAATAACATTACTCATTCATTGAATTATTATGGGGATTAAAGGAGTTAGCATACAAAGCTACAAAATGTACTCAATACAATTTAATCATTATTGTTCATTTATCCCTTTAAACCTTATTTCAATTAGTACCTATTATCTGACAGAGATAATATATATTTTAATAATCAACCCACTCTGGGAAAATGAATTTTAATCCTGAAAGACCTGAGAAGAGATCTAACTGAAGTTCTTCCTTTCTTCAGTTAGCTCTACTTAGGGGCTACAAATTTTGTGGTTCAAAGGAAAGAAGTAAGAAAAAGAATTTGTAGCTTTAGGGAAAAAATGAAGAAGTATAAAAGACAAACTACAAATGTGTCAGCTTCTATGAAAAGAGAAATGTATCTATAGGGAAGAATAGAAATTTTTTTCCAATCATTTTTATATGATGGAAAAACTTTATTCAGCACAAAATCCTGTTGGTAGAAAGATGTGATGTAGACATCCCTGAACCACATTTTTATCTCAGTGACTCCTATTTTCCAGCCAAAACAGGAATATAAATGTAATACTGGAAGATACAGTCCTGCTCTTTCCAACAGGAGGTACCACTCTGGTTCATTGAAAGTTTCTAAAGCCCTAAGAAAATTCTGGCCCTTGGTTATTAGCGGGTTCCTCAAAGGCTCATTTCCTTGAAAGCTGCATTGAAGCAATGTAATAAGAAAACTATAAGTGAGGGGTAAAATGTACATACACACATAAACCATTTATGTCCAAACAGAAATGGGAACAAAGGAAATGTTGATAAAAACACAGCTATCTCTATAATATGTATTCCTAGGCATCAGATATTATATGCTATTTAGTTTTTTTCTTCCCATTCTTTATGAAGCAACCAAATCTATCTTAGATTGGAAATTTTGGACTTGCTTTTAAGAATAAATTGATTCTCCTAGTCTTTAGCACTAGAAAGAAAACTGTTCACATTTCACAGAGTTCCATAGGAGAAGAACCCAGGCATAGGTTAGCAAAGCATTCTGCTCAACCTACTCTGTCTGAAATCAAGGTGTGGGCTAGGGCTGCCATCGCTTCTGAGTGCAGGTCCTCCTCCAAGCCCTCCATTGCTGACAGGATAAAGTCCTTTTTGTTTGTAAGACTGAGGTCTCTGTTTCTTTGTTGTATGTCGGTTCTTAAAAAGTGAATCAATCTGTCCCTCTACGTCTACCTGTTATCGCTGGTTCCAGTTGTAGCTATTTTTCTCCAGCCTATGACAGAGGTTTCAGAATTAAATAGTTAAAAACTTAAGTTGGACCCTGGTACTACAGCTGCTAAAATATTAACAGCATGAAATGCAGGCAAATAGGAAATGTGGGAGTAGACCAGAAGACTTTCAGCTGTTTCTCTCTCTCTCTCTCTCTCTCTCTCTCTCTCTCTCTCTCTCTCTCTCTCTCTCTCTCTCGTTCCTTAGAGGAGAATTTCTTGTGCCTTTCTCAAACAAACGAAAAGCGACAAGATGGCAAGAGTATTTGATACTGTCACCACAATTTTTTGAAAGCGAAATTTGGCAGATGGATAGAGAAGACAGGGAAAGTGTTCTTGTTCATATTTGCTTTTTAAGAAACATTTTTTATTAAAACCCTGGACAAATCTGTATTCTATATGAAAAATGATTCCCTTTTCCACATTTTAAAGAATATTTATTTACAATCAGTATACATAAAAGGTCTCAAAAAAGGAAAATAATAAAATAGATGTATAACTGATGCTTCTTAACTCAAGTTAAAATCAACTATAAAAAGCAGTATTGAAAAGTGTGATATGAAATATTTCTTAAATATGTGTATAAGTATTAGATAAAGGCTGGTGGAAATTTCTAATTTGCTTTTAATTTGCTCATTTAAAATTATGTCAATTGATTTCTAATTCATTTAAGAATAGCTATTAAAGAATTGAAAATGCATAGAATTTTCTGGGAACATTGAACATAGAGATGAACAAAATATTTGTTGCTCATGTTATTCATGATATTAAGTCATTTCTTCTATCTGAAGAAGTTATAGTCTTAGAAAATACTCTTATTCACTTTTAATTTTCTAAACAAATAATTCTTTATTTATATTTGCATAGGAAACTATCTTTTAGTTGTATTTAAATTTCATGAATTTATTCTATTTATTTCATGTGACACAATTTTAATTATATATTCCTTCAACTCCATGAGCTCTCCATCTCCATACCCCCATATCCTACAACTTGTATGTCCTCCTCATATGTGGAAGATTTACATATGAAATTAACTTACCCTTTTGTTTGATTTTACTTGAACATTTTACTTTTCTCAGTTTTTAATCTCTATTAGATAGTTGGTGGTCTGTTCCTTTATAAAGGTATTCATCCCCTTATTATGCTCATTGCCATTGTTTGCACAGCAGTTAAAATAAAGGAAATAGAGTACTTCTACATGCAGCCACTAAGTAGCCACTGGGTTGTGTGTTTCTTACCCAAGCAAGCCCCAGCTCTTACCCATAGGCCTCACTGGGTAGCAGTCATTACCTTGGCTAATCAGCTCCCACCTGGATGGCTCTTTGACTTATGGTTTTAGTCACTGGTGGATGCAATCCTATTTCATGGGTACACTGATATGCCCCCCCAAAAACCTCAATTTAAAATAAAAATCATAGTTGTTATATGGAATGTAACACCCAATGGACATGGTGGACATAACCTAAAAGTTGAATCATATAGAATGTCAAGTTTACAGTAAGATCTAGTATCTCTAGGACAAGAATATTAAGGTCTGTATGAGTGAATATTTTTCTCTTGGTTCTCTTGGTGGGTGGATGCAAATGGACACATAGGTAGTAAATGTTGCTTGCTAAGAAGATTTAGCTAAATCATGTTTTGTGACTTTGGGCCATTACAAATGAGCACCAAATGCAGAAGAGAAGGTTTGGCTAACGGGGAGGGAACAATACAATCTCTTACACTTATTTCTGGCTTAAACATGACTTTTCCAAGGGAGAGAATTATTGCAGTTTATTGCCCAAAGTTCACACTGTCCTGAAAAATATTTAAAAGGTACTTTGAATATTGATTTCTGTGATTCCCTTTTTAACATGATTCCACATGATCAGTAGTTTTCTCTGGGGATTGGGACACTATTTTAGGATATATCTACATCTTCATACCCCTCTCTTGCTCCATTATGTTTTTTTATAATTTAACATTTAGAGAACAATATAATTTCTTGATTTTTTTAAAGTTTCTGAAGGATATCTTATTCGGGGATGCAAGTATTAATAAGTATATATTTTATTTATTTAAAGTCAATAAATTTTCATTGAAGGAATTCCATATGTGATTCCTTCCACTGCCATCAAGTTTACTTCTGTTTCTCTAAAGCCTGAGTAATGATTTATCCTCAGGAGAGCTTTGCACATTTTTTTCTTTGAGCTTCTTTTATCTCCACTTAAATTATGGACATACTTATGACAATTCAAATTTCCCACCTAGAATATTTGGGACATTAAGTCTTCAAGAAGTTTACTTTAAGATTAGTTATAGGGTAGATAGATCTGCTGGGCTCTCAATTGCTGATGTCCTCTCTGATCATAAATGAGTTTGGATCATATTTATTCCTAATATATCCCATTCAAGAATATAGAGATTTGTGGACTATGCCAATATTGTCAACTCTAGACATCATGTTGCCAAAATGAGTATTTTAAGGCCATCTTGGATGTGTCATGTCAATATGAAAACTGTAGTACTAAATCAATATGTCTAAGATCTCCATTATATCTTCTGCTTTTTAATTTTAAAATCTTCAATCCTGGAACCAACTTTATGGTTATAAGTACCTCATTACTTTACACTGTCTTTGCATTATGATATTCCTTTTTTTTTTTGGTTTGTTTTGTTTTTTTGTTTTGTTTTATTTGTGTGATACAGGGGATTGAACCCAGGGCCTCACACACATTAGGCAAGCACTCCACAACTGAGCTACATCCCTGTCCCAAAACATTTCTTCTTATCAAAACTCATTCTAAACAATGAGATGTGGGTTGTGGAAGAGGATTTAGTTTTTGCACATTTCTCTAAATCTTTATCCACAAGTTAAACAAAAAAATATACACAAGTAATCTAAGTGTATATTTCTTAATGTCCTTCCTATGTACTTAATTGGAAAATTAGAAACATTCAGATATTTGGTACTGAATTAGTCCAATCACGAGAAAATTAGTTTTATAGATATAGACATTTTAAAAATATATGCATATGTATGCTATTAACCAGACTTGCAGCCAGAAAATGACTAATTATAATGCTTCATTCTACCTTCTAGAACACCTGGTGAAGAACATTCAGCTTGCCAACTTTAAGAGTGAATCAACTCTACCTACAGCTAATTATACAGTACTTCTAATTCACCTCTTCTTCAGTGTATCATTTCCCCTCCCCCACAAATCCCACTTGCTTGTTTTCTTGCAAAGCTGCCAAGAAACTGTGAACAAATTTAATGTCTGAATAACTGATTGCTTGCTCAATGACCTTGAAAAATTACTTGCATCATTAAAAATTCATAGAAAATAAAGTTTTTGAGAATCCTGGCATATTCTGTCATATGGAACCTCCTATTATGCTACTGTACAATCTTGTGAACTTTAAAGATTCTCTCAAAGATGTTAACCTTGCTCTGGAAAACCAAAGGTGGTAAACTTGCTTTGGTTACCCAATTACATCAGACGTTTCTGATTTTTTTTTAAATAATATCACAGTTTTCTGCATGTAGAGTAAGCAAGAAACAGAAGAGACTAGTTGATTTTCCTAATTTCTGTGATTCTTCAGAATTCCTATTTCAAATGGCCACAAAATATCTAAAGTACTTCAATTATATTTTCAGTTAAGCTTCATGTAATATATAAACAGCAGTTTTAAAGTATGCAGTTCAGGGCTATTCTGTATATTGACAGTGTTCTGCAACTACCACTTCTATTTACTTTCAAATATTTATCATCACCCAGGAAAACATCTCCCCAGCCTTTAAATAATCACTCCCCATTTCTGCCTCCTCCATTCCTCTGAGGGTCTCTGTGGACTTGCCTTTTGTCTGGATTTCAAATGTTTTCATTTGAAACATATGTATAAATTACAAATTCTGTGTATGCATATTAAATGCATAATCAATGCATATTGATTTAATTCTCCATTTTTCTTGGTTAAGAGACATGGAAGAAAAGGATGTGAAATCCTAAGTTCTGGAAACTCTGACAGGATGGTGAAGTATCATCCAAAGCAGCCTTCTGATACCTCCCAGAGCAAGGATCATGTTGTATGATAATGATGTGCTCCTTGTCTTTCTTTAAGACCCTAATCACTGGTGGACGTGTTTCCCCTTTCACCCTTGTGCTTAGCACAGTGCCTTTATATATCTGGGTGCTTTGTGTTTGATGAAGGGAATGGAAAGGGGAGAAAAAGAGAAGAAGAGCTCACTGATAATATTTGATCCTAAATTAATAGAGAAATGATTTTACTTTTTTCTTTCTTCATTCAATTTTCTTTCTTTATCCTTTCTAGCTTTTCCTGAAATTACTTTGAGAAATGGAAAATTGTTCCCAAGATATACTTTTGGAATTAAAATTGATCTTACTTAGTTTTATTGAACTTTATTAGCATATTAAGCAAGGAGGACATCTCATTGGTATTATTGTCTAACATGTAAAAGAACTACATTTAATGACAAGGGTGACACAATCTGATTTTGTTCTGCCTCTTTTCAGTCCCTAGGTATTCCTTCCTCTTATACAACCCTGTTTTTTGACCCACTCTCAGCCCCAGCCCCAGAGAAGTCTGGTGGTTTGGTCATTGAACATTTAGCCAGTGTTAGAATGGGACAACTACCATGAGTGCCTATGGAAAAGCCAGTGTAGTTTCTAATCTCTTCCTTCTTCCTGTATATTTCCCTAATGTTCAATTATTTTGCATGGCACAGTAAAAAAAAAAAAAAACATTTGAAAACCTAATATCAACCTCATCCAATATCCTACTAAACAGCTTGCTTCTGGTACACGAAGTGCCTACCACAACGAGTAGTGAGCATTCACTTCAGCAATGGATAAGAAAAGGATTATTCTTTACCTTATTCTCTCTTTCTCTCCCCCACCCCTTTTCTCTTTCAGTCTCTCTGTTTTCTTTTCACTTTATGTTGGAAGATCATTCCACTAATGCTGGCAGATCTATGCAGTATGTGTGAAAAGCAATAAGAAATAACAGCCTTGTCCATAATTCTTTAAACTTCAGTGTCCTCAAAGTCTCATTCTGTGTTAGCTTAGGGAGACAATTCTGTCACAGGTGGGGCATTAGGAGTGTGTTTTAATCTTTTCCCAAGGCTGTATAAAGATGGTGCTACACATTGGATTTGTAGGGACAAACAGGTCTTTGTTTTTACTGAATATCTAAGAAAATTGTTTTCTGCTCATTTTGTCTGTCCTCTGGGTAGCACATCACATTATCCTGTGTGGTAGTGTCTGCTGCTTCCTGCTCAGTGCCATTAACATACATCTGGGCCACCCTTTGTGTGGAACCATCCCCCGGTGAAAGCCTCAGTGGTCTGGGATGGAGAAAGACTGCAATTTACAGAGTCCATTATCACCTCTGGACGTGTAGAATGATAATGGAAGTGACAGAGGTGCAGCTGAAAATTGGCTCTTAATATTTTATGTGTTCAAGCAAAGAATTGGAAATCTCATGCTGCTCTTTAGGGAAAAATGAAGTATGTGGGATTTGTTTTTTCTATTGGAAAGTTATATGCAAAAGGTTGACTGCAGGGCTTCGGAGAAAGTATTACAGCATATTCATTTTGTGTTAACCAATACTTCTCACTAGAGGTTTAAAGGAAAAAAAAAAAAAACTCCTGTGTGAAAAATTGATATGTGAAAACAAGGTAAATCCAGCACTGAAGCAAAGTTTTAGAACAGACAGTTTAAAAATAATGTACCATATGGATTATCACTTTCTTTTAATTGATGTGCTATGTCTATGGAATCACACATACTTGCTTTAAAAAGATTATCTTCCAGTTTTTTTGGTTGTGTGTATGAGTTTTAATTTTACCACCAACATATTCTTTTCTGACTTGCAACTTAGAATAATGTTTCCAGAGCTGTAATTGCCACATTGATTTTGAAAACAAAAATTCACTCTTGGAGTTTTTTAAGTTTTTAAATATAATAGGGTAAGGGAGAAAACAAATGTAGCTTTCAAAATAGTTATATTAATAATTTAGCATTTATCTCAATGTATTACAATGGCTATAATTGAACTAAAGAGATGCTTGTCAAAAGAACTCTGTCTTGAAAAATATAGTTGCTTTCTCTTTTGACTAAGATGTGAAATAATACAGTGCCCTTTTCCTAATAGTATTTTATTATTTTTCATCAATCTTATCTTAGACAAAATAGCAAAGTAATATTCTTTCTTAGTAATACAAGACTAAATATGATTCAAAGTGTAGCAAATGCTAAGGTCTGCCTGCATTTCCATAATGTATATTTATGACAGGAATTTCTAATTTATCTACTTTACTAAAGAGTAAACTTTAGTGACATTACTATATCACTGTTGTCTGATGATCAACATGTCTAGGTTTTACATTTGGAGCCATTTGGAGATGAAGGAATAAAACCAGTAGCTTCTCAATAGCTTCTCAGAAATGACAACCTCCTTTCTCTCATATGTTTCCGTCAGTGTTTCTTTTCTGGAAATGAACACAACTTTACTAAACTATGAGTAGGAAAAGTTTCCAGTTGCTATAGTGGACTTCAAACCTCATTTAAATCAGCAATGCCTGCCATTTGGAATAAATTCTCTGTATATCGGTTTATTTAGATGTGTCATTTGATTCATCTGCCACTTACAAGGTCAGAGTAACAAGACTTCTAAGTTGTGACTTCAAGAGAATTCTGAATATAAAAAACACCCTACCAGTGATACTCAACTAATTGCTCCTTAAATTATGTATTTCTCACATTTTTATGACACAAATACCATCCTTATATTATATGGAATCAATATTAATATCATTAGCTTTCATCACAGACATTTATTGACTCTCATGTGTCAAGCAAAATTTTAGGCACTTTTACATACATTCTCTGTACTCCATTAGTCTTTTAGGGCTTTGAAGCTTATGACAAAATAGATAATTACCTTGGTCGTTGTTAGCCCCAAGCCTCACTAATTCCTGGAAATTGATAGAACCTTGATAAATATTTGAGGCATTACTTTATTTATGTCAAGACATGATAACTAGAATAGCTATATACACATTTTAGTTCATCTCTTTCAAATAAGCATTTTAGAAAATAAAATATATACTACGTAGTTGAGTAGTTGACTATTTAGATTACTGAAGGGCATGCACTGTATAGCATGTAGAAGCACATGACAGTACAAACTCATGGTTATTTAAATAACACTGTAAAAAATAGGTAAGTAAGAAATATATTTTTCTTACCAAGGGAAACAAAAATTGAGAAAGGAACCTAAAGGAATGTTACCACAAAGTCGTTTTTCACAGTGGGATTCAACAACATCAGATCATTAATACAAAACCGCCTTCCAGCTTAAATAATGCCAAATCACCCACAATGATCAGGGGCAATGCTCACACAGTAGAAAGGGTAGATTTATTATCTGTTCTGTCCAATTTAAATGTACGGAGGAAAGAAACAGATTCTTATAAAATTAAACTCTCCTTTCTGCTGGAAACAAACCAAAAGGAGTAAATAAAATGTGAATAGTTCAGGGTTGTTTGTGTCAGATGAAAGTAAGAGACTTGGGTATAAGCCAAGTTCTCCATTGCCATCTGAAGGCCTTGATGTAATGAAAGGCGTGTCTCCAGTGTTTGACAAACACTTCTGACTTTAAACACAATTAGAGCCTAGAATTTTCACTAGGATGATAAAATATAACTAAAAATTTCAATGACTTACTGTTTCCATAAATATCAGGTTAAAATTATTAATAAAGGCATTAGTATACATTTTAGTTGACACCTTCACTAAAACAGTTTCTGTCCAGTGTTCATGTATGGATCTGTTCAATTACTTGAAACACTGCAGAATATTGCATTTCACTCTT